GAATTATTTGGATTTTAGTGTGTTTCCTGTTTTGTTTTTTAGGTAAATTGTATAATGGCAGATATGCATAATTATATGTATAATTTGATGAGTTGTGAAAATTCTGCACACTGGGGAAGGGGAAATTTCCACGATACCTTCTTGATTCCTTCTCCATTCCCCAGTCCTACAAAGGCTACACCTGTTCCAATGCCCCTTGTTTAATCAAAGATTAGTCTTGTCCATTTTTAAACTTCATATTAATCATTTAATTATTCATATGATTATATAATTTTACACTGTATGCCAGCAATATTTTCAGGCCATGCTAACACCATCTGCTTTCCTATATTGGATATTATTAGTGATTTTATTTATTTCAATGGATAAGTAAAGGTATCTCACTGTGATATTAATTTATAATTACCTGATGACTAATTATGTCCATAATTCTTCCATTTGTTTGTTGGCCATTTGTATGTTTTCTTTTGAGAAGTGTTTGTTAAAGTTTATTGTCCATTTATAAATGTGGCTGTTTATATTTATTATTTGTTTATGAGAGCTTTACACATCTATTATTGATAATTCTTTCAAATATGATTTATGAGTATTTTATGGATTTCTTATTTCTTTTAGTAATAATGTCTTTTGAGGAACAACTTAAAATGGTTTGCTCAAATGCAATTTAATAAATTTTTTCTATATTCTGCAAAAGGCATCTTTGTTTACATCCAGGTTACAAAGATATTCCCTCAAGTTTTCTTCTAGAAGATTTCCAGATCTATAAACCATTTAGCATTATTGTGTGTGTGTGTGTGTATGTGTGTGTGTGTGTGTGTGTTGTGTGGGAGAGGGGCTGCAGTTATTTTTTTTTCTGTTCAAGCTTCATGTCCTTTCTCAATTCATGTACCTCGATATATTTACTGTCACTCAAAAGCCTGAATTCACGCGAGCTGTGGCTGACTACTGCACACTGGGTCTAACTACGTAGACTGCAGCCCGTATCACGAGCTTCTCACCAATAGCGCAAGCTGGAAACAGTGCACTATGACTTTGGAAGACAGTTCTGCAAGGGCAACAGACCTCCGACCTTGCTTGCTAGAGCACCAGCAGTTGGGCTGGATGGGTTTTACAGAAGCCCCAACTTCCTTACCCAGATAGAGAGATCCCTTAGAGAGGTCCTGAGACTGCACGAGAGCAGTCAGCCAGCCAGCCATGCTCAGGAGCTCTTTGTTCCAGATCCAGCCAGCATCTGGCTACACGTACAGGACAGAGCACCAGCCAGAAGCACCCAGGTAAAGCTCCTGTGAATTCCAGACTCACCAAAACTTTCAGAATAATTAAATGGTGGCTGTCTTGGTAAGGTGCCAAGTGTTAAGGTAGTTCATTGCATAGCAATAGAAAGTTAAACAATGTTGATCCCAGGAGTGGAGCATTGCCAAAACTGACTTTGAAGATCCTCTCTGTAAACAGGTGTGCTTCTGAGAACCTTATGGGTAGGGCTTCCCAGTAGGTACAAAGAAAACTGTGAAGAGATGAGCTCATCTCAGAGAACTTTGTAGGCTTGTCTTTGATCTAACAAAGTGGATTGTGTACTGACACATAAGAAATCTATAAAGGTTTTGCAGATTGGATAATCATTTTTCTATATAGTCTCATTGATTTTTTTCTCTGCTGCCTCTATTCTATTGTTAAAGCCAATCAGTAAAATTGTAATTTCAGATATTATACTTTTCAGATCTAGAATTTTCATTTAGCTTATTTTCTTTTGAATACTTGCAGATATCTATGATAGATGATTTAAAGCCCTTGCCTGCTAACTAAAACATCTAAATAATTTCAAGAATTGTTTCTGTTAACTATATATCTATTTTTGTATTTTCACATTTTCCTATTTTCTTGAATGTCTGGTAATTTTTGGTTGGACACTGTGGATGCTACGTAACAGAGAATCTTGTTAATTTTTGTTTTTCTTTCCTATGGGTTGATTTTTGGCTTGGGAAGCATTTAATTTCCTGGCAAATCATCCTTGATCCTTTTGAGGCTTATGTTCAAGTTTACTAGCATAGTCACTAGAGTATCCTTTAGAGGTAGACTTGATGACTACAGTGTGACCTTTATGTTGTCAAGGGAGTGCCCAGAGTCTTCAGTGAGGTCTTTCCACTCTTCTATCTTTCAGTACTTGGACCTTCAATATCTATACTCAATTCACAAACCTACTGTTTTTACCAAATCTTGTAGTCTTATCTGGTGGTTTCTCTCTCTTAGGTGCCATATTCCTGCTGCCTGATGTCTAACATCTGAAAACAGTTTTGTCCGGTTTTAAAGCTGTTTATGGCAGACAGAAGCCAAAAGTCAAACCAAATATACCTCTGTCAGGTTGATTCCAACTCATCCTGACGTAGCTAGCCTTTGGTTACCAGCTCAAAAAGCACAGCCCACTACCAGGGCTCCTCGAAGAACTAGGTCCACGGCAATAAACAGAGACATCTTCCAAAGATACAGGCTTGATTCCTTTGTGCTGTTTACCGCTAATTCTGGGCCTAATCAGCTCACCAGTGTATCTCAGAAAGCCTGCAGACTCTTCTAGCCCCATTTTCTCAAATAGCATCCTCCCAAGAAGGATATTCACTACATGCTGGTTGCTCAAAGATTAGCAAGATTTTAACTGGCTAGCACTTTCAGATTAACAAGACTTCTTACAGGCTCTCAGAATTGTCTGGTGTTTTTACAGCATGATTTTGAAAACAACCAACCAGTCAGAGTTTTGTTTTTTATTTTTCCTACGTGAGTTCCTAGATTTTCTGTACCAAATCTCAGTGTAAAAGTCCTGCTATTGAGTCCCCATGAAGTGCTTCCAGATCCCGATCATACGAGTCCTTCAATGAAACTGCTTTAACCAAACACAAGGATCTACCTATAACCCCCTCCCAGGGGGATGGACAACAGAAATGTGGGTGAAGGGAGACATAGGTCAGTGTAAGACATGAAAAAAAAAAGTTATAAATTATCAAGGGTTCATGATGTAGGGATGAAGTAGGGGGGTGGGAATGAGGAGCTGATACCAAGGGCTCAAGTAGAAATAAAATGTTTTAAAAATGATGATGGCAACATATGTACAAATGTTCTTCACACAATAGATGTATGTATGGATTGTAATAAGACCTGTACGAGCCCCCAATAAAATGATTTTTTAAAAAGAAACTCTTTGCTTTATGTTTAACAGAAATTCATTTTTTTAATTTGACAATCCAGAACATAGCACTGAAGTTTGACAGGCAATGAAATTGACCCCTGTCCAAATATCTGACATTCAACTTTCAAATAGCTTTACCACAATATCAGCTAAAAAGTACAAGTCTCATTAATCACTTACTTAACACATAACGACACCACATAAAAATTACAACTGCACTTTGTTTTCACTGATGAAAATGAATCCATGATGGGCTCAAAGTCAATTTTCCCCCCAGTTTCTTCTCTTTCTACACTCAGCAGAGGATGGTCACAGAGCCTGCGCTGACCCACAGAGGCTCTCAGGTACCAAGGTATTTACTTAAACGTGCTGAATGATCTCTCCCAGCTAGTGAGGGAAACAGGCATGGCTAAGCTAAATGGCTCATCGTTGCCTTCTCTCAGTGGCACACAGGACACATGCAGGGCACATGCCACTCCTGCCCTACCTTAGATATGCCTCTGCCGGCAGACATTCTAGTCCAGTTACTGTCATTACTTTAACCAGAGTAGACACCGTGACTTGACTTCTTTATTTGCAATCTGTACCTTCCCATAAGTGTTAATGTTCACTTGAAAACAAGAAAAGTCTGCAGATGATGAGAACTGAATCAAGACAGCATTAAGAGCAATTATGCTCTAACACTTGTTTTTAATTTTTGTTTAGACAAAACATTGAACAATTATATTCTACAACCAGGTCCATGTTCCTAAATAAAATATTATTCTTGATTACAAATAAATATACTTATAAAAATATTTTACACATATAACAATATGCAAATACAAACTCCCTTATATCTTTACAACCTGTGATTTAAATTCCAAACAAATGCCAGTGTATAAAAGCACTTATGGGCTTAGTGTGCTAATTTCACTTACTTACATTTGGCATCAAATTTAGTTTTTATTATTGACACCTAATTTGTGCTGAAATATGGTGTCTTAAAGATCAAAGAACAGCAAAACTGCCAGCATATTTTTTACCTGCCAAGTTCAGAATAAAGGAGTCTGATTCTCCCTACATTCCTTTTATTGGATGAGGTATTAGCGAAGTCAAGGGTATATCATAGACAAGAGGAACAAAAAGAAGAACCACTTTGAGCATAAAGCTTGGCAAAAAAACAAACACGAACTCTATGAGATGTGAATTGAGTTTACTAAATACAAGGGACTTCAAACAGTTCATGAAACATGGAAATTAATAGATAATGGAATTTTTCCAAGAAGTATTTGAAGTTCCCCATCGGTTTTAACTCTTTATATTGTAAGCCTTCACTTGCTTGCCCCCCGCCCATAAAAAGGCATATATTTGCTTGAGAGACCTTAGAGTTACCTTTGTCTGTGAAAAATTCCCTGAAGAGACTTTACTATGATTACAGAAAATCCTCTCCATCTAGAGATAAATGAGTAGCAGTCATGGGGGATTGCTGAACAGTTTCCTAATTTCAGGGGCTTATTGACTTCAATATGAAACCGATAGCAATGTTCACACTGAATATCCTAATTATGTTAGTCACTAATCATTAGAAATACCGAACTGAGGTGTAGGTATATGAGAAAACTGAGGCGAAAAGTATAGCTAGACAGTTTTGGTACTGATTTTCCAATAATAAATCAGGGGATTTTTATGTTCTATTAACCAATTTTATATTTCTATTGACCATTACCAACAATTTAAACATTTCACTGAAATCAACATGCATTTCTAAATAAAACATATCAATAGATAATAAAAGACATTTGGAAATCTTGACAAACAACCTGAGAAATAGTTCCATATTTACCTTTGTAAGTTAGCTTGAGTCTTGGAATATTTTGTTTAGAAGCTTCAATAGCTGGAATAAACAGCACTACTGTGCTCAACATCAGCAAAGCATGAAAGAGGTGGAAATCTTGGCTTCTGGAGTTTAGCTCTTTTTCTTGTTTGGCATTCATGGTGAAAACAATGTTCTCTTTCAGGGTCAATTTAATCTGAAAAATGAGAAAGTAACTATTCACCTAAGAGTTTATAAATTTTCCAAGTTTTCCAAATTGTAATATTCAAAATATATGTAGACTTTAAAAATTAATTTATTTTCCTCTTGTTTTGCTCTTACCAAAGTATTGAATGTAAAATACCCGAGAACTGAGTAAAAAAATAAAACCAAACAAAAATACCTTGGGACTGGATTCACACAAATGTAGAAACAAGTACACCACTAAGAATTAAGCTATTAAGATTAATCAGCATTGATTTCGTTATTAAAGCTGTTCATTTAAGCAAAAATTACCAAGTCTTTCTAGAGCATATCAGAATGAAGTGTTTGGGTGTGATAGATTGGTTAGAGTCTACTCTTTCTCCACATAACCACCAAGGACAAGATCCTCCAACAAAACAGTCAAAAGTTGATCTGAGAAAGTGCTCTCGTTTCTGACTTAATAGACAATTAAAAAGATAAAAATCAAAGTCAACTGGATTAATGGAATATGATTCATACAGATTCACCAATGTTGAGATGTGAGATGTAGACCATTGCACATCTTACTGCCACTATACTATGCAAAGTAATTTGTCACAGAGAAGCTGCTTTGGTTGCCTTGATTAGGCCTGGATTACAATTCACGTATTTTAAAATGAAATTTAATATTAATTAAAATACTATTTAGTGAGTTCTTATCCTCATCAATGCATGTCCAGTGCAGCCACCACCCTCTTGTCAATGGATGCTTCTGTGTTAGTCTGATTCTGAGAAGTTTTCAGTGGAGCTTCCAAAGCAAGATAGGTTTGGAAGAGCTAATGATTTACTTTGGAAAAACAGCTAGTCAGAACCCAATGGGTCACCATGGTCCTATCCCACAGTGAATGATGTTACCAGGTTGCCACAGTGGCTGAAGACAGCTATTAGCAACAGCAATATGCATCAGATACTTTCTCTATGCTTTATCCAGATCAAATCATTACATTCTACTGATATCTATTAAAAATCAAATAAGAACAACAATAATTCACTGCCATTGAGTTGATTCTGACTCTCAGCAACTCTAGAAGATAAAGCAAAACTGTTCCCCTGGGTTTCTAAGACTGTAACTCACTATAGGAGTAGAAATTCTCATCTTTTTCCCATAGAGTGACTGACGGTTTGGAACTGCTGACCTTGTGGTTAGCCGCCCAAGAATAACCCACTACACCACCAAGACTCTCATAATATCATTTAAGAGGGTAAGCAATTATTTATCCTCATGTCCCATAGGAGGATACTAAAGAATTACATATTTCACCCTAGGTCACAGAGATAGCAAGGGTCAGATCAAATCATATTTGCCCTGGACTCTAACTAGAGTTTACCTTCTTACCTTACCTTCTTATTGATCATGAGCCGAGGCACAGATTTGAGATTCACTCCTGAGATTTAATGGTTTTAGCTAGAACAGCTAAGCCTTTGAATATTATTCACAATGGTCTCCTGATGGAGACGTGCGCTTTTCTTTCTTCTCTACTAGGTTATTATCTTCCTAAGCCGCCCCATATAGGAAAACCAAACCAAACCAAAGACTTTGGGGAGGTTGACCTCTAAGGAGGCCTACAAGGGATGGCTGATAAGACACAAATGACTAAAGTAGTTGCTACACCAGAGATATCCATATAAATTATGAAGGGTAACTCAAAGGAATATTTTTTGGGACATCAGGAATATTAGAACAGTTTTATGGAAGACAGAGAGAGGCCATTTCCCAAATAACAACAATAATTTATAATTGATCAAGGATTTATGAGGGTGGGAGGGAGAAAAAGAGGAGCTGAATCCAAGGGCTCAATTAAAAAGAAAATGTTTGGAAAACATTGATGGCAACATATGTACAAGTGTGCTTAATACAATTAAATTATGGATTGTCAAAAGATTTTTAAGATCCCCCCCCCAATAAATGATTAATAAAAAAATTCCAAGAAAGCAAACCAGATATCATGCTGGACTGGGTTAAATGGTTACTGTGAAGTAATGAGAAATATAGCACACCAAATAAGAACTTGACCTAACTCTTATATGTATAGCATTTATTCTGGTACCTGGTATATAGTGATTCCAATAATGCCCTGTAAATATTGTCTTTTTAATACGATTATAGCAGAAGTGCTCATTCCACCCACCTTTATCAGCACTTACCTGTGCCTTCCACTGCCTGTGGCACCCAAACACAGATTCACATGATACTCATACTCCTCCCAAACAAAGGCGAATGGAATGGAATGTTTAGTACACTAAATTAAATATTTGGCTTAGTTTTGAACTCCTGTACATATGAAACACTGCTATTTATCATGATGCATAACAATACATAGAATGTGAATGTCTGTCCATGTACACAGGCAAAAAAGAGGGAACTTACCATATGTGCATTTTATTACCAATAATGACCTCAGTACAGGACATTTCCTGAGAATTAATGACCAGTTGGAGTTAATGGTGCTTGGCTGTGTATTGAGTTATCTACTCCTCCGACCAGTCATTAATCGCTAAGACATGCCCTGTGCCTCTAACACCATAACTTAAAAAGATTGATGTTTGGGTTTTCAAAGAACAGTAGTCATACTGTTCCTTGTAACCCAACTCATTAATATTGTTAAATAAGTTAAAAATCAAAGCACTACTTTCTTTGCTGCTCTGACATTCTGATAAGTGCCTACACGTGCTGGACCATACGCTAAGGGTTGGGGGAGGAACTAAACAAAACACAAATCTTGTAGCGGCTGGATCTTCTTTCACTTTAAATATTTTTCAACTATAAAACAATCACTCTCTACAATCCGCTACTCCTGAATATTTGTGTTTCCTTCCAACAATCCTGTAAAAAGCTAATCATTTACTTAAGATAGTTTATGGGTTCAATGGCTTGTCGATGTCTTCTCCAAGAATCTATTATCATCTTGGTATCTTTTAGAGGGTGTGTGTATGTGTGTGTCTTGTGCACGTGCATGCACATAAGTGTATGTCTTGCATCTGGGATGAATTATGAAGAAAAGTAGGTGTGATTTATCCCAAAGTGGGTGGATTTTGTGAATTGCATAGGTTATACTGCATGCTACTGTCTGTAACAAGTCTGACCTGGAGCCAATTAACCGGATGTAATCCATTCCAGATGTTCACTGGGACAAATAGCACTCTTGGGAATCTTCAGGTGTGGGGCCAATAGGGAGTGTTCCGATTATGAGAGGTTTTTACACAGTGTTCCACCAAACTAGAGATCCAAATGCATGATCGAACGTTCAAGAAGGTGTTCTGCCATTTCCCCAAGGGCTGGAACGAGTCTAGAGGATAATGGCTGGATGGTCACTTTTCAGATAAAATCCAGAGATACAATTGTATCCGTGAACTTCATTGATTTTTCTTAATAATTTATTATGTTCCTAAAGCATAAAAGGATTATTTCTAATTAGGATGTAAATAGCATCTGTGCATGGGAAAATAATTAAAATACTCAATATTTTCAAACATATTAGAATAGAATACTTAAATTAGGAATCTTTCTCAGGTGTGTGCGTGTGTGTGCGTGTGTGCGCCCGTGCGCGCGCTTCTATCTCTCTTTTGTGTTGTAGGTGGGAGAAAGGGAGGAAAAAATTGATTTGTAAATTTTATAAGGAGCAATTTGTCCTACTCTATAATTTCTTGAAGGAGATTTGACAGCTCAGCAGGTTACAATTGGGCTGCTAATCTCAAGGTCAGTAATTTGAAACCATCAGTCATTCGCCAGAGAAAAAGGGGCAGTTCTACTCCATCCTCGAAAGCAGTGGTTCCTTCTCCACCTTCCTAATGCCACCACCCTTTAATACAGTTCCTCATGTTGTAGTGACCCCACCCCCCACCCCCCGACCATAAAACTGTTTTCGTTGCTACTTCATCACTGTCATTTTGCTACTGTTATGAATCGGGCAACCCCTGTGAAAGGGTCATTGACCCCCAAAGGGGTCGCGACCCACAGGTTGAGAACTCACAGGGTCTCTGTGAGTCAGCATTGACAGCATGGGAGTGAGTTTGGATTTCTGTTTAGTCTTATATTCACTTAAGTATTCTTCACCAAAATCAAGATCTGTAGGAGCTATGAATATACCCAAATTAAAAAGAATATCTATATAAACTCAAAATGCTCAAATTATAGATACTATTTTTACCTTCTGCTTAAATAGATGATTTCTTTTCATAATGCATAAATCTGATCAATTATGGTAATATTACTTAAGGGCACTGTGATTATACATGAATCCAGAGAGTCAAAGAGACAATATAGGCAAACAAATAAGTAGATTTGTGCTTTTAAATAATACGTGAAAATAAATTAAAATTTAAGTTGCAAAAATCAGACATATTTAATAAACTAAATATCAAAATATGGAATTATTGTTTTTTGTCTTATCGTCCATCTACATGTATGTACTTCAGACCCATGGTTTCCATCTCTCTAACCTTCCCCTCTAGACCTCTGTACTTTTCCCTCAGTTTGGGCCCCTTGAGCAACCCAAATCATTTTCCTTCTGAATGTTATTTGAGTTTTATGAACAAAAATAAATCTGATGGAGCAAGATCAGGTCTATAGGGGAGGGAGGGGTGGAAAATATTTCTCAACAAAATAGTTACAGGATAGCTTTTCTATCCTCAAATAATGAGCAGGTACACCCCACTGAGGAAAAACCGCAGAGCCACTGTCCTGGTCTTTTTTCTCATTGACTTTGTTTTCAGTTTTCTTTAAGCTTCTTTCTAAAAAGCAACCCCCAACCCCAGCCCCTTGGAAGGCACTGAGTTGATTGTGTCTTCTCTTTGAAGGTAACCTCAAAGACTGGAGAGGGGTGGGAGAGGAGCTGATACCAAGGGCTGATATCAGAAAGTGAATGCCTAGAAAAGTATGATGTCAACATATGTACAAATATGCTGGGTACAATTGATGTATGAGTTGTTGTAAGAGTTGTAAGAGTTTATAAGAGTTGACCTTGTTATCAGCCT